ACACCCCCAACTGCACAAAATAATAATAATAATAAAGTTAAATATTAAATATTAAAAAAATCCGCCAAGCACAGCCTAGGAGAACGATAATTAAACAACATGACTGCCAACGAAATCTTCCTCTTTCGTGTGTGCATGGTTGTTTGTAGATGGCATGGGCTTGTTTTTCCATATGGGCAGGTTTTTATATACATCTGCTTGTTTGTGCAAAAGAGAAACTGTTTTTTTATGCAGAAGATATCCCCAAATTGTATTTTATTGGTATTGCTCTAGTCACTAACCTTCATTATTGAATCTCCTAACTATTTGAGTTAGGATGCTAGGATAACTATCTTCATCAGATGATATTAAACGTAACATATCTTAGAAAATTCATCTGGTGCTCCTCTTAGTTATGTATTTATTTATTCCTGATTGTTTTGTAATGAAATTTATTAAAAATTATTGAATTATATGAAATGGGTATCTTACTCAGTAAGTATTTCTTTAAAGGTACTTCATGTTGTCCTTGCTTTAATATATTTTATCGAGAAGATTTCCTTGTTTAGAAATCTTGTTTTATCCTCTGCATTCGGTGCACTGTTTGAATTTAATGAACTTGACGTGTAATCTTGTAGTTAATGGTTATTTTATTATCCTTTGAATTAAATTTGACATGTATTTCTATTATGTAGTCATTATTTTTTTATTTGGGAAAGCGAGGATTTTGTATGCTTCCTCAATGTTTTGTTTCTAGAGTTTGTTGCTTTAATTATTATTATCTATTATTGGATGTGTTTTTTTTTGAATGGTTAGTTATTTTGATTATATCTTCTACCTGCTATTGGTTATCTGTTTCACTGATTGAAAATTCTTTTAACATCTTAAACTACAAATTCTTCTCGTAGGTCTATGAGCGCATCAAAGCACCTTTACTCACTCTGGTGAGCACAGGAAGTCCTGAGCAATCTTATGCAGTACTAAGCCACCTTCATCTTTTGGTGATGCGAGCTCCAATGCTTTTCTCATCAGACTACAAGCATTTCTATTGTCAATACAGCCAGCCATCATATGTGAAGAAATTGAAGCTCGAGATGTTGACTGCTATTGCCAATGAGAGCAATACTTATGACATAGGTGAAGTAACTGTTTCTTTTTTGTACTTTTAAGGCTTAAATATTACACTTATTGGTGAATTTGCATGTTCCTATTTTTATTTGGACCACCTTATTGACAAAGGATCTATGACAAAAACTTTCTTCAGTGACTGAGTTATGTGAATATGCTGCAAATGTTGACATTCCTATTGCAAGAGAGTCAATTAGAGCAGTTGGAAAGATTGCACTACAGCAGTATGATGTAAATGCAATTGTTGACAGGCTTCTTCAATTTTTGGAGATGGAGAAGGATCACATAACTGCTGAAACACTGGTGAGCGCTTTGTGATGGTTAATGTATTCTCTAAGTAATTCAGTACAGCAAAAAAAAATTAGAAACCTCAAAACAAATGGTGTTGAAATTGATGAAATCTTTTTCTTTCGGGAAAAATCCACAGGTATTGGTTAAAGACCTTTTGAGGAAATATCCTCAATGGAGTCATGATTGTATTGCAGTTGTTGGGAATATTAGCAGCAAAAATGTTCAAGAACCTAAGGCCAAATCAGCTCTGATATGGATGTTGGGGGAATATTCCCAAGACATGGATGACGCTCCGTACACTCTTGAAAATCTTGTGGAGAACTGGGATGATGAGAATGATGCAGAGGTATTGCAGCTTTAACCTGAAAATATTTTTACTTCTAGAATAAGCTTTTTTTTTTTTTCAAACTGACATGGTTTCTTTTGAAATTCTGTTTTAAAATGCACTACTGGTGCAAAAATTTTGGCCTTTTAATAGAGAACAGAAGAAAATGGTTTTTATCTGATCTTTTTGTTTGGTTCATGTTGTGGGATATTATTGTTCAGAAATATGGGCATGTTCCTTTCATTTCAAATGACAAGCAAACAGAAGGCACATTAGTGCAATGGGCTGACTACTATAGGGTATTACGGTGCTGAGAAAATTAGGTTACATGGCTTCAAGTTAGTGGAAGAGATTTAGCCTTTTAGCTATTAAAGGGCAACTTAGCCTTTATGTAAATAGTTATTTTTCATTCAGTTAGTATCTAATATCTATTGGTATTTTTTTTTTTAGTTGTACGAAATTATATTTTATTGTTTTGATTTTCTGGTTTAAGCTTTCATGAAAGATAGTTGACGTGGACATAAAGGTGCTTGTAGAAAGTGCAATTTAACGTGGGTCCACCTAATTTTCTCATATCCATTGCTTCATCCACTTTTTCTCCATGATCTGAAAATTTATGAATGGGAAATCACATGATCTTGATATTGTCTCTTTTTAGTTACTAAAGTGCGACTTAGCACTTCTTTTGTAAATAGTTCTCTTCACTCAGTTAATATCTGATATCTATTAATATATTTCTTAGGAGTATGAAATTATATTTTATTGTTTTTATTTTCTAGTTTAAGCTTTCATGAAGGATAGTCGACGTGCACATAGAAGTTCTTGTAGAAAGTACAACTTATTGTGGGCCCGCCCAATTTTGTCATTTCAATGGCTTCATCCACTTTGTCTCCATGGTTTGAAAAATATATGAATGAGAAAGCACATGATCTTGAGACTTGTCTTTTATGAGTTTAACTGTGTGAGATCTGGTTGACTATTAAATACAATTCAATTTGCAACAACTATTATGATAGATAATGTGATTCAAATCGTGTTTTACATCTATCATTTTTTTTCCTTGTAATTATAAATCAATGGGTAAAAATCTTCTTCTCGCATGATTGACATTCATTAATATTTTTTTTCTTTACATGGAGGTCATTACTGTGTGTTTAGCAGATGGAAGGAGATTGAATTTTGGATTGCTATGGGATAATTATCTCCTACAGCAGTTGCTGTTGCATTTCCCACACAATCTTTAATTGTTCATGTCATTTCTTTCTTAGGTTTTAAGATGATATGAACACCTCAAGATGTACACAAAATGACATGAAAATTTCAAGGTTGTGTATGGTATATGCGCAACTGTCATCTGAAATAATTATTCGATGGCAATCCAAAACTCAATCTCCTTCCCCTGATAACAAGCAGACGGTAACGAAGTTTTTACAAGTTCTTATATTGACAAGTTTTAGATAAAAGTTGACTGTTAGATTCGTCCAACAGTAACAAAGCCTTTACCCCAAATGTTAGGGGTCGGCTACATAATCCTCTTCTTCCATTCCCCTATATTCCGGGCCATCTCCTCCTTTTAAGTTAAACATTATCATAACTTTTTTAATTGCTTGCAACCAAATTCACTTCCAACCAAGTTCTACCTCTAGACTTTCCCCATTAATATAATATATTATCACTTTTCCTAATTGGTGCTCTTAAAGGTCTTTGTTGTACAGTACTAAACCGCCTTAGTCGAATCTCTCATTTTATCCTCGGTAGGAGCAACGTCTAATTTACTAGGGATACACTCATTTCTATCCTATCTTTTAGTGTTAGACGATGTAAAACAAATTTCTGACCCACATAATTCATAATGTAGCTGTTGCAAATTGGAGAACAAATATTACACAGTTGGACTTATAACATACAAGTTTGGAGATCACACGATTTCCCATTCATATATTTCCAAACCATGGAGACAAAGGGAACGAAGCCATGAAAATGGGATAATTGAGTGAACCCACAAGAAGTTTATCTTCCAAAATTATCAGCATCATACAGTCAGTGTGCCTCTTATTCATGTTTATCTTCCAAAATTATAGATGATGCTAGTAAATCATATTGATGCTTCTGTCCTCTTCTAAGAAATAATGGTGTTTTTCTGTAGGTTGTTTGCGATTTTCCTGTTCTACTTACCAGTGTTGTGTTGTATGTGTGCTTTATATTTATATTTGTGTTTCATAGACTACAACTGTGCTAATAAACTATAGATTGGTGCCTCCATTCTTGTTCTAATCTACTATACTAAAAGTCGTTCTTCTGCAGGTTCGTTTGCATCTTCTTACTGCATTAATGAAATGTTTCTTTAAAAGACCACCAGAAACACAGAAGGCCCTAGGTGCTGCTTTAGCAGCTGGTCTTGCTGACTCTCACCAGGTAGAAAGATGTAATTTTATCAGTGACATCTGAAAAATTCAGCTAAAGGTTTAAATTGAATGTTCTATGTCCTTTAAATGAAAAATTTGTTGCAGGATGTTCATGATAGAGCGTTATTCTACTACAGACTTTTGCAATATGATGTATCAGTTGCAGAACGTGTAGTGAATCCTCCAAAGCAAGCAGTTTCAGTCTTTGCTGACACTCAGAGCAGTGAAATCAAGGACCGCGTATTTGATGAATTTAACAGCCTTTCAGTTGTGTACCAGAAGGTGTGTACCCACTCTTTACAACTTTTGCAGCGGTAATTTATTTATAATCCTTGGGGAACAATTTGTTGTAGCTGATTAGGATAGGTTTTGAGAATATTAAGAAAGATGATTAATTTGATGTACAAAACTATGTTTTAAACCTTTGTTAAACACACATTTATGCAAATATATAAGGGTTAATTTTGCACAATGCCTCTGAGCTTTGGGGGGTGTTTCCCATGACATGTTGAACTTTGTTTATCTCACATTACGCCCTGATTTTTGGGATGTCTCACTAAAATCCCTTGAACTTCACCTTGTCTCACCTAACTCCCTTGTCTGTAATTTGCAAATAAGAAAAAAATTTCAAACCTTTTCACTTGTCATTTATAGGCGGCATATCCCCTCCCCTAAATTTTGCATTTTTTCTTTATAAAATTTTAGTTATTTGCAAATTAAATGTAAAGGGGCTGGTGAGAAAAGTTCAAAGTTCCGGGGGGCTTTGTGAGTCACCCCAAAGATCCCAAGGGGGTTATGTGGGATAAACAAAGTTCATGGGGTTATGTGCAACAACTTCCCAAAGTTTGGGTGTTTTTATGAGTTTAACCCAATATATAATGCAAAAGTTATATATTATTTATAATTATTTATTTGAGTAAACTGATAAAAGTATCCACAAACCAACTGTAGGACGTAGTAATTCCTCCCACTTAGTTATGCTTTCCACTAGCACTGTACTTCTGTAAGTAAACTTTTTTCTCAGAGTTGAGAGTGAATCTCATGGGAACTTACATAAAGGGGTAATTCTTTGATACCACTATGTTGGATCTTGAAGAGGCTGTTTTGTGGGGAAATAATATTTTTGTGGAAGAGTGGAAAAAAATTTTAAGGTGAAAACTGGAAATAATAGTGAGGGGAAACTCTCTTTTCGTTGAAGTTTTTTTATATCCACCACTTAACCCTCTCATCATTATTTATAGACACTAAAAGTACTTTCATACAGTTCTTATCCACCAACTTCTGCATAAACATCACCACAATAATTCTTAAGACTCTTCCAGAAACGCTTCCACAAACTTCTAGAAGACTCTTTTGCACCGAGATATGTATCATGATTCTTGATTTCTTTCTAGACATTTTTTATTCTCTAAAAATTTTCTAGTACTAGAGCTAGCACTATGATCTCAAAAATATAACTTTTGCAAATTAAATTAATTTTTGAAATTCGTTTTGTACTTAATTTTGCTATATAAACAATTCAAAGCAGTGTTGTTGACTTGTGTAACTTGTAGCGCCTAATGGAAATGGAAATGTTGGCCAGACGACCTTGAGACGTCATGAAGTCATTTTGATCTTCTGGTTCTTCCATTTCTTCGGATAGAAAGTTGGTTTATTTGTTTCCTCGTGATATTTGACCAAAGAAATTGCAAAATTCGTTGAATATTTTCAGATTTATGCTTCCTCTTAACCCCATTAAGGTACTCGTTAAACTGGAAAAGTTGTATCTAGTTGTGGTTTCTCTGAACTGCTTCATGTGCGCATCCAACACCCAATTTTTCTTTCTCAAGCTTTCTTCTCAGTTTTCCTTTTTATACCTTTCTTATGGAACAGCCAAAAGTTCGCATATCTCTTCCTCTAAGCCATAGTCTGTGGCATTGAGCCATTTTTTGAATACGCCTTGAGTCTTGACCATTGTGTTGGTGCTCTCTTTTCTCCCTTTCTTCTCACTGATACTGTTGTGGTTCTCTAATACTATATGATGTCTTCTCTTTACCTGTTTATCCATGCACAAGGCTTCTTTCAAAGTTGTCTTCATAGCTCAAGTCCTCTTTTGTTCTCACTATCTATTTAGGGTTTTGATCTTTTTCTTTCTCTTCTTGCTTCCTGATCTTTTGCTCTTTATTTAATTTGTGACTCCTAAAACACTTCTTTTCCTGTCTTCACTTCTTTTGATCGGTATATCATCCACAGTTTCTAAGATTAATTGACTTCTTTCTCATGGAATACTGGAAACCACATCCTTTTGACCTTGCAAAAATCCTATCATTGTTTGTTGATTGGCCACCTCCCAATAGCCATTGCCTACCAATTTCAACTTAGGGGATTCCTCCTGTTGATGCACCGATGATCATAACTCTTGTCGGGAAACCTCAGAATTGATGGTTGGATCATATGCTTTGTGCCCATGCTTTTTTTAGTTGATCTTGAAGACAAAATTACTGGAATTGATAATGATAACTTAACTGCAAATCTAGATTTCGAGCTACCACTTTGTTGAAACTCACGTATTTTTTAGGCATTAACTCATCTTTCTGCACATCTGTAATTCCACTCACTTTTACACAATATCTCCTGATGATATTTTTCAGGAATCTTCTAGAAAACCCTTTTATAACATCCAAAAAACACTTTTAGACGGAGATATTTGAGATTCTTTTTAGATAGTTTGACTATCTTAAATTCTCTAATACTAGAGACTTTATTGGAGACTTCTACTACAATCCTTTAAGCGTAAACGTCATAAAGTAAGTTCATTTTTCAACAAATCATCTCTGGGATGAGCGGATCTCCATTTTTTGGCTGTGCAATATCCCAAATCATTATCTTCTTATCCATCAAAATTATCTTAATGAAGTAATCCTCTGTTATTATTTTTAATTCTTTGTCCGATTATCTAAGAAGAGCAAATATGTGTTAACGAGTTGATCAGATTTACTATGGAATTGTTTTTTAACTATCGAAGGACACGAAGGTATATAAATCCACGAGAAGTGTCCTACTACGTGAAAGCAAATGCAATTCTGTGGATTATCAACATTAAAGCAGTGTCCTTTGGGGAGAACCCACAGGTTACAACTGCACTAAATTTAAGTAATTATCTTCAAGACCCAATGACAATTGCATATAGAATGTTTTTCCTTACAGTGTTCTATCTATAGAAGTTTCTGATGGCTTTTTGTCTATTAGTTACTGATGTTTAGCAGATAACAGATGAAACAATGTTTGCATAATGAGATATTATTTATCGAAGTGAATGTACAATGTAGAATCTGGGTGCCACTTTACTATTCTATTCAGTCTGCTGCCATTATATTTCATATATATTCCAAAATCTGGAACTGAGACTGTATCTTACTGTCTGTTGTAAATGGATTAGCAAGTTTAATCTGGTTAATATATACTGGAAAGTTAAAAATATGGTGATCTTTGGATAAATAACGTTCCTACTGTCATTGATTACATTTTGCAGCCCTCTTACTTGTTCACTGACAAAGAACATCGCGGGCCATTTGAGTTCTCGGAAGAACTAGGGAATATATCTGTGGGTGCAGATCCTACAGATAATGTGATGCCTTCCCAGGGATATGACGCAAGTGATAATGATCTTCTTTTAAGTACTTCGGAGAAAGAAGAAAGTAGAGTGCCTCTCACTAATGATTCTGCGTATAATGCACCTAATTTCAGTACCTCTTCGGTACCTCTAATTGATACCCAAGTGCAATCAGGTACTTTGACAAATACTTCAGAGCCCACTTTTGCTATTGATGATCTCCTTGGGCTAGGTGTATCTGTTGCTCCGCCTCCGCCTCTGCCTTCATTAAGGCTCAATCCTAGAGCAGTTCTTGACCCTGGCACTTTCCAAAAGAAATGGACTCAATTGGCTATATTCTTGCTCACAGTCGTTCTGTTTTGTAACTTTTGAGACTCTCAACATGAGCGTATAGAATTATATATATATATATATATAATATATAGTATATATATATATACTATATATATATATATATAATATAGTATATATATATATATATCATATATAGTATTATATATGTGGGTTAGAAGATTATGTCATGCCTGATCTATCTTCATATTCTCTTTGAGTCTCGGCTTTAATGGATAGCCTTATCCTGTTTGGCATATAGACTGTTCAAAGAGGAGGCATCGAACTATTTTATATAGTTAAGTACACAAGTAGATTGCAACATCTTTACTCAGATAATTTGCAGTTTTAGGGGGGAAAAAGTTGATTCAATATGTTATTTTTAATTAGAAAACATAATCAGCCCATACAAACCCATTAGATTCTTTTAACCTGAAACTCATTCATCTTAGTTTCATATAAACCTAGTTAAAGTTATAGCTCTTACTTTTATGTTAGATAGTTATTGTGTGTCTTTGCAATCACAAGAACATAAATATATCACACTTGCATTCATAGAAGTGCCCACCTACACAATGTGTAGAAATTGAGCGTAAGTGAATAGATCTATTGTTTGATATCTAACTGAAACAATAAATATCTTCTATCTAAAATAATTTATTTCACAGCATAAGTAAGCCAAATTCTACATTTTACTATATATTTTTTAGGAACGAACTTTGTATGCCAAGCAATCTTTTGCTTGAAAAAGGTTCTTGAAATTATGATTTTTAGTCTCAATTGAAACCTGTGGATTTATACACCACTCCAGCTAATTAATGTCTGAATAATTGCATGACCTTTTAATAAATAAAAATTACAGTGGTTATGCCTGTTTTTCTTGATCCTTGCACATGGAATGTGTGCAACCAAACTCAACATGAGGGAAAACGATCCATATAGAATATTCGATTATATATTTGTTTGACTTTTACTTGGAGCATTTCCTTAATCTTTGTGGAAGTATTGCAGCTGAAACTCATGAGGAAGATTGCAGACACTGGTTTTACTAGAAGATTGATGAACAGATTATATACCCAAGTTTTTTTTTGAAATCTTGGCTAGACGTGGAAGCTTCTAAAACATGCTAGTTACACAGAATTAGTTAGCACATAAAGTTTACACATACAACTTAAAATTATGTTTTTCCCTGTCAGTACATGAAGTTTTTGCACTAGTGTGCGCATGCCACTTTTTTATGCAAATGCAGAAACACTTTTTACATATCTCAGTATAGTAACAAGTTCATATTCAGTTTGTAAGGGTTAAAATCTGCACCCTGGGCATTTGGAAAATCTTGCATATAATAATAATATAAAATAACATGAAATAAAAATCTAAAACTGCGTGTTAAGAAAATTGTTCTACAATGCTCATACATCTATTGTTTCGAAATTACTCATCATATACTTATTCTTCCATGAATGATTTGATTGTAAAGAACAATTTGAAGTTTTGGAGAACAGCTTGCTAGGGAAAAGTTTGGAAAGGAGAAAAGAAAAGAAGTCATAAATTATAAAATACACAGACTATGGTAGATCAGGGTAACAAAAAGTTTGTAATCCAGCTTCAATTATTAGTCATTTGACAATGACATCCTGTGGGACAGTACTATGTGTGGTAAAGCTCCTGTATTTAATTAAGGATAAATTACAGAAATTCCCCCTGTGGTTTGTTGAGATGACAGAAAATCCCTCAAGGTTTTTAAATTTAAGTGAACTCTACCCCTCCGCATTGAAATGACAGAATATCCCTCAAGATTTTTAAATCTAAGTGAACTTTACCCCTCCTCATCTTCAGTTTTGGTCAAATAATCATCGGCCTTTTTGCATAATTGTGAATTTTCTATCTTACAATCACAAAGCGTGTTTATGTAGGCATATATAGGTAATTATCATGTTTTATGCTATATATTTTTTATTACATCAACTTAATTTTGAAGAGGTTGGAAGAGAGGGTTCAAACTGTCCCTTTTAAACCCTAGGGGATATTTCTTCAGGGCCATGCAATGTATCAGGGGATTTTCTGTAATTCGCTTTTAAACTAAACGTCCTGCATTTACTACTAAATTTAGGGTCATTTTTACTTTGTAGGAATACTCTATGGAACCCCAAGGGATAGTGGCATTGACAACACCTCAGGCTCTCCTTAGACATATGCAAGGCCACTCCATCCAGTGCATTGCATCGGGTGGTCAAGCTCCAAACCTCAAATTCTTTTTCTTTGCTCAAAAGGCTGATGAACCTACAGCTTTCTTTCTTGTGGAATGTCTCATCAACACATCAACAGCAAAGGCTCAGATAAAGATTAAGGCCGATGATCCCAGCATTTCAGAAGTTTTTGCGACGGTGTTCCAATCTGCACTTTCAAAGTTAGTTCCTTAGTTTCCGACGGAGAGAATTGATTGATGTCGCTGTACTGAATATGCTTTTGAGGGTGTATAGAGGCAGGGGTTTGAAACCCAACGGATGAGAACAGTTAAAGAATGAATTGATTGGCAAATTCCCTTTTTTAAATGCAGGCTCAATTTGTTGTAAAATTTCACATTTTGTAGGTACCAAGATTTCCAGTTACACTGAAGACCATACTCTGCCATGTTTTGAATTGTATGTAATGTTTACCTGTTTAGAATGCAATAAGGACGGGTATTTTCTTGCCTAGCCTTAATTTTTTCAGCAAGCTTGCGTTGCGACTTTTTGCTTGAATCATTGTGCTGTTACTTCATTATATGCACAACTGAGCAAGAAAAGAATGCTGATACTTTATTATATGCACAACTGATTAAGAATATAATGCAGAAGAAGGTGCAGGGGGAATATTATGTTGGACAACTACAAGCTCCATCCAAAAATTAAAAAATTAAAAAAGTAAGAAAATTAAATAATATAAAATAAAATGATGGTGTATTTGTAGTTATTTTCATTACTTTTAGGGTGTTATTGTAATTTGGAGTTGTGTGGCTTGTAAGTTTCATATTTCATGGTGTTTCATGCAATTTTCAGATTTTGAGGGTATTTTCTTGCAATTTTTAGATCTTTAGGGGTTTTTCACAAAATTTTGGATTCTATTTATTTATTTATTTTTTGGTGGGGTTTTTTTTTGGGTTGGGTCGTGTTTGGCTATTTATGATGCTCATTTTCGAACTTTTAAGGTTCAGATTAAATATTCATTTTATTTGTGTTAGTTTAATTCTAAATGTAGGGAGACCTTCTTTGAAAGACTTTTCATCTAAGCAGGGATGAATATGTAGATTCAAGTTAGTCCATTTATGGCCCATCTATCTTCAATAAAGAGAATAACTAATTGAGTGAGTTTGGATGTGTTATTTACCGTGTGGGTGGGGAATTGATAGGCAAATAGGTTTGTGTGTTAGGATTCATCCCTACGGGAGGTTAAATGGGAAGCGCAAAAATTGGAAATTAAGGGCATGTTTGTCAAGCTTAGTAAAAAAAAAAAAAAAAGAGAGGGAGTACTTCTGGAAGAAGGTACTTTGTGTCAAGCTTAGTAAAAAAAAAAAAAAAAGAGAGGGAGTACTTCTGGAAGAAGGTACTTTGTTATCACTTTTTCTTTTGTAAAGCTTGAGTTGTATTATGCTTGTAGAAACTGTTAGACAAAAATAGGAAAGGATATTATAGTCCATCCATTTTCTATTTGTTTTACATTTTTCGGTTCAAATTATGTAATTCAGTTCTGATCAGAACGACCAAATGACACGTGCGTGTTGTTTACATGGAGCTTTGGCCACTCTACTAATATTAGTTGGAATTGACAGACTGGAGGTTTTATTGAAATCATCTCCGAAACACCATAAACCAGCTTAAACTTTGTGTGGGACTCAATTATGTAGGAGTGATTCATCTCTCTACTCTCTCTCTCTCTCTCTCTCCCCGAGGCAAACCATGCTCAAGTTACGTTGAGCAGGCTAAGCTGAGGTTATTTGAGCCGAGACAACAAAGATGCTATCAATTAATCTGCAGTTTTGAGTCCGTGGAAGACCATATAGTTCTTTCTCTCCCTAGTTTTCATTATTAGGAAAAGGCAACAACGACCAATTCTTGTATAGTAACAGATACGCTCTAAACGTATTATCCTCTCAATTAATAGTTTACGTAGTTAAAGGGGTCGTTTTTTTTCATATTACAATTCAGAAAAGGACGGTGAATTGCAGATACATCCATTAATTGAGTTGTTGTCGCTTATATCCTCTACATCCCCTAATTATTTTATTAGCACTACTCCTTTAAACAGTAGTCGATGTTATTTCTTCTGTTTTGTTGAGATGTCAAATGAGAATCACATAATGATCTAATTCTTGCTTTTGCTAATTTGTCAACCAGACAAGCTCTAGACTAAAAATAACATGTAAAATGATGAAGCAGGAGGTAGTGGAAGCAATAGTTTTTCTTTCTTACTTAACAAAATTTCGGCAGCAATGAAACTAATATTTCTTCCTCTTCATTCCTTTTTTCTTTTGGTTTATTTCACAAGATTTTGCAACAAAAAATGAATCTCATTCCTAAACTGATGTAATTTTTTATTACTTTCCGGCTACTTCTGAGCTATGATGGATGGGAATTTTTTTTTAAGAAGTAGAGAAGCCAAACATGTGTCACATCATCATTTAAGAAAGTATGGGTTTTAATAGACAAAACATACTTTTTATTTGAAAATAGCAAAAATAACATTTATTTTCTTTATTTCAGCTGCTTCATCTTCACTTTCATATAAATAAACAAACCCTAACTAAAAAGAAACTAAATCGTCTTCTAGGTTGAAGGGAAAAAGTAACACCGTCTAAGTTTTAGCAGACGCGAGTACTGATAAGTAGTTGAAGGGTTACTAAGTGGCTACACCACATATTAAGAAAGTATACCTACAGTTAATCCATGTTGATGATACGAAGATATCCTTAGTGATATTTTTGGTTAGTTGGTTAATTATTAGATAAGAGATATATGTAGTTAAGGTAAGTAGTTATCTTGTTTTTGAGTAATTTAAGATGTAATCCTCTGTATACTTTCAAATTCAATAAGATTACTTCTCTAATTCTATATGGTATCAGAGCGATGTTATTGATTTTTGAGAGACAAATCTCATAGCCGCCACCTCTTCTTCTCCCTAAACCCATAGCCATCGCCCTTCTTCTTCCTAAACCCAACTGTATCGCCATAAAAATAGAGACTCATTTGTTTCTCTTGCTGAAATCATGACAAAGAGAAACGCAGCCAACAAAAAAGGTTTGGATATGTCTTCTCCATTCTTTTTTCATCCTTCAGATAACCCGGGAGCGGTGATCACGACATGCATTCTGAATGGAGAAAACTACGATATGTGGGTGAAGGCAATGATCACACACTTAGAGCAAAGAACAAATTGGGTTTTATCAATGGCACACTGGAGAAGCCGGCACCGGATACACCGGAGGCGAATAGTTGGTCCTCTTGCAATTCGATATTGATTTCTTGGATTTTCAACTCTATTGAAAAATCCATTCAGCCAAGTATAGCCTACGAGGAGTGATACGAGTTGTCGTGCGAGCACCCTTTGGTCACGGAATTACCAAAAGGTGGGTTGAGAAGAAGACAACTAAAACACAAGACAATTCAGTATATGGCGAAGGAAAATACATTATCTAGATTATGAAGAACAAAAGATTATAATCTCTCCCTCACAATCTCACTAGAATCGAGAATAACCTATCAATCCTCTCTAAACCCTAATACAAAGATTAGAATCTCTCTCTGATCTAAGATCATAAAAACTTATGTTTAGAAACCCTAAACAACCCTTTATATAGATGTACAAATGTGGATGGCAATCTGGTAAATAACCAAGTCCAAACCCAACAGGAATTCGTGTGAACAGAAACCCAAACGAATCAGGAAATTGTCGATGAGTCGACTCATGACTGAGATGAGTCGACTCATGTCCTCATATGAGTCGACTCATAACTGATGAGTCGACTGGTCAGAGACTTTTACGAACAGGGCTTGATTTCGTGAGTCGACTCATGACAGGCATGAGTCGACTCAACCTAATGAGTCGACTCATGTACATGTATGAGTCGACTCACGAGCTGAAAACTAGATTCTTCGAATCTGCTGCTCGCTGTCTCGTTCCACGCTTCCATCTGCGTTCCACTGTACTGTTTTACACCCCTATTCTTATGCTATCATGGGAATCATCTACCTCAAGCTCCCATGAGGATTGCTAAGTTTCGAAGAGAAGATACACCCGTATCATGGATCCCCTCTTTAGGAACTTGAAGTCCCGTTCAAGTTAGAACTTTTCCTGAGGAAACTCTCGAGCTCCTCCATCTTTTCTGCACCAATTGGCCTAGCTAGGAATCCGGTCTCGATGTCTGATCGGAAACAACTCATTCATCCCGCATCTCGTCGTAGTCACCATTCGTTTTAAGTTGCAATCCTTTGTCGATGGCTTTTCTGGAAGTCTAATGCACAACGAGACAAACTTCTTGCTTACATTCACTAGTCTCTTCGCTCGTGTCTGTTAGATATAGGTGCCCTACAGGTAATTATTGTATATTATAACAGGACCTATATGTATATAACATCCTTGTTCAAAATGATAGTATGCTATTTTGGTCAGATTTATCTGATGTTCTAAATATACAGATAATGTCCTTAGAATAAATACTAGACTATCAGACATTTCGGATAGTGATCGTAATGAAGAGATCTGATTAGTCGGTAACGTATATTCCTAAATGTTCCTAGTTGATGAAGTGTTGAGATAGGATATTATCACTTTGGTTAAGACTCGTGTATGCTCTATTTCTCCTTTTGAAGAAGATGATCAATCTCTTAGATCATTGATGTGAGACATCAAGATACAGTATACAGGTGACTCATTAGTGAATGAGTTAACTGAACGACTCGCCGAGAACATCTAGTTGGTAATATACTTAACTGTCAAATAGAAGTTCTTAAGTGATATAGTACATAGTAGTCTCTTGACCTGAGGCATGAGTGTAATATCTTATATGTCAGTAAAGATGTATTTAGACTTTTACCTAACCACAGTTCTTATTGAATTGTGCATAACGGTTCTTGTTGGGTACATCCCGAGACATAAGTAGATATTGAGATGCCAAGAAGGGATTCGTCTCTCCCAGTATAGGGGTTGATGTCATAAGATTGTTTGATATAACTATAACCTGGAAATCCTTGGCCGAGGTAAATAAGATAAACTGAGTGTCAGTTTGATCTTATAGGTTATGAGTTTAATATCTACAAACACTAGTTGAGCAAATAGGGTTTGACAGTTTTCCATACCCTAGGCTTAATAGTTTGACATGGTTTGACGAAGAGACCGGACTGTACAGCATTATCACCGAGTGGTCCTGATAAAATTGTGTAAGCATTTTACAGACATTTATCACAACTTATACCCGGGTAGTCTTCATGTGTAGCTAGCACCTCTGTTGTACTTGTGGATATGATCCACTGCCGAGTTCTTAAGTTGGGCCCTAGAGTCACACCAAGCGCGTACTTGAATCCTATGAAACACAATTTATGGAGTGATGCGTATGATTGGTAATGCTATGTGCTTAGGAAATGAATTCTAATATTTTTCCTATAAAGTTAACTTTTAGTCAACTAGTTGACTTTTTGGTCAACAGTTGACTTTTGGTCAACTCATTGACTTTTTGGTC